AAAAAGCTAGCCCTCCACATTATCTACAAACTTGACTGGTATATCATCTAGGCCTTATTCTATGGTCTTGGTCTGCAGCTTCCAGGCAACTATGTATCATATACCTAGCTGACTTCAAGCTAACAAGAGCTTTCTTAGCTGTAGTCATTCAGTAAGTAACAAACCCATACACTAGTATTATCAACCAGCCTACATTCCTCTATATTCAAATCCTACCTGCCCCCACAATTACGAGACTCATATACTATCATTAATTAATGTCTGAAAAATGACTTCTTGGATTCCATGGGTAGTTTTCTAAAATTATGTATTAATACTGTTGACTATGTATTTAAACAGTATTTGGGGAGTAAAATTTAGCAATGCCTACTGAAATATTACCATTTGAACTAACAATTCCACTTCTAGCAGTTTATCCTATAAAAATCCATGTTTCCAAAACCACACAAAAATATACACGCAAAGATATTTATCACAGGATCATTTGTAACAGCAGAAAATAGTGCAAACAGTTATCAATGCCTGCGAATAAGCAAGTGGTCAAAAAACAGTTATGTTAATAAAATGGACGATTAAGCAGTTGAAAAAATGAGGCAGTTATAGGTGCTAACACGTAAAAGACACAATAGGCCAGACACAGTGGCTCACGCCTGTAGTCACAGCACTTTGGGAGGCCGAGGTCGGCAGATCACTTGAGGCCAGGAGTTCAAAGACCAGCCTGGCCAACACAGCAAAACCCTGTCTCTACTAAAAAGACAAAAAAAAATTAGCCTGGTGTGGTGGCACACACCTGTAATCCCAGCTACTCGCGAGGCTGAGACGTGAGAATTGCTTGAACCCAGGAGGCAGAGGTTGCTGTGAGCTGAGATTGTGCCACTCTACTCTAATCTGGACAACTGACTGAGACTCTGTCTCCAAAAAAACCAAAACAAGCAAAAAAAACATACCACAATAAGATTGTTAATAATAATACTTTGAATTGGAAATTACATTTTAGTGATTTTTTTCACATGAATATATACTGCTTTTGTAAGTAGAATAAGCAAAGAAATCAAAACTCAACACACTGATATGTGTGATGGCCCTCAGAATTTCTTAGGGGCTGCAGCCCTACTGCCCCCTACTCTCTCCATATATACATACATTCAAATACTTAAGTGCCTTCTCTGTGCCAAGCAACTTACTAGGCACTGAGAATAATAGTGACATAGAGTCCCTGCCTCTGTAGACCTTGTAATCAAAAAGAAAACAAAGTATGAGAGTACTATGAGGGTGAAAGCACAGCACCCAAATGGAAGCACTTAACTGGAGAACCTAAGCTCGCCTTGAGGAAGGGTAGCAGGAGCCGAGCACCAGCACCTTCTCCTGAGGGCTGACTGCTGACAGAATAACACCATTGCCACTATCACTTTACCCTGACTTTACGGTCTGAAAATCAAACAGTGGATGGTATATGGTGAACACTGAAGAGAATACCCCTCATTTCACAAAACCCAGCAGCACTGTGACAACTGTAGAGGTGATGATCATGTACACTGTATCCCTTTGATAAAGCCAGAGTGGAAACAAAGAATTTATCCAAGGACTAGATCAAGAAGTTAAAAAAGGAGATGCAAATTCTATGCCCTGTCTCAGCATGAAGACAGGCTGATGAAAAGGCACCTCACTGCTTCATAAGTAACTTTCACACTTACAGTATGACTGTCATGCAGAATTTATCCCAGTTTATGACCTAAAAGTAGTAATCAAGTCCTCGCTTAGTATTCTCAAACAAGTGATAGGCAAGATGAAGAATATCAAAAAGAAAAAGAACTACGGTTCAGCCTAAAATCCCACATGTTCACAAAAGAGAAGACTGAAGAAATTACCGAAAACCTTTCATTAATATTTCCTTAAATGCCCTCTTGCACATACTTTTTATTGCCAGCTCCTGCTCCCTAGAAAGACCTGTGGAGATATATATATATATATATATATATATAAAAACTAGTTCTGTTCACAGATGAAACGCTGAAGTAAAGAGACTCAAATACTTAAAAGTATTCATTATCTTAGAAAATTAAGAACTGATAATTTTAAGAACTTAATATAATTTAAGCACCCATGTGTAATCAAGTGCTAATTCCTGGTATGCAAATGAAATAGTACAAAATCCAGGCTGGTGCGATGGCTCACGCCTGTAATCCCAGCACTTTGGGAGGCTGAGGTGGGCAGATCACTTGAGGTCACGTGTTTGAGACCAGCCTGGCCAACATGATGAAACCCTGTCTCTACTAAAAATGCAAAAATTAGCTGGGCGTGGTGGCCTGTGCAAGTAATCCCAGCTACTCAGGAGGCTGAGGCTGGAGAATTGCTTGAACCCAGGAAGCGGAGGTTGCAGTGAGCTGAGATTGTGCCATTGCACTCCAGCCTAGGGAAGAGAGTGACACTCTGCCTCAGGAAGGAAAAATAAAAAAAAAAAGAAAAGAAATAGTACAAGATTCATAACCTTTTTTAAAAAGTTACTTTAATCAGTGTTTCCATTTCATTCTTCAACTATTATTATCTTATTCTGCCCAAAAAGAGCACAGACATAGTTAGTATCCCCTTCTGCCACACATCAGCAGAAATTCCCAAAAGCAAATCCCCACCTCCTCTATCATGACCAACTCCTAAGGAAAAATTATCTTTTCTCTCTCTTTTGTAGGGGTTTCTCAGAGATAAACAGCATGCAATGTTTTAATACAGCGCTATGAACATACTTAGGCTATGGTCTTAGTTTGCTACTGTTTAACTCTGCCAAGTTTCAGTTTTGTTTCCTTGGTATATCTGAATCACCTTTCAGTACTGACACTCAATGAGGCATGCCGTACACATACAAGTTAAAAAAAAAAACAAACATAGCTTTATGGAAAGAATAGAGTTAAACAGACCTGAACTAAAACTCCCCCTGACACCTATGAGTTGCCTGGCATTGGACAAATTATTTACTTAGAGACCTCTTTCCTTATTTGCTATCTGCTTATTATTACCAACAAATAAAAGAATGTAAGTAATTGTTAAAAGTGCTTAGCATGGTAAGGCCCCAATCCCCCAGTAAGTGATTCATTCTTACTTACCAGCAAGTTTTCACTCTTGACAGTTCTTTCTTTGGGGGTGTGGGGGAGGGTTGGGGAGGGACAGAGTCTTGCTCTGTCACCCAGGCTGGAGTGCAGTGGCACGATCTCTTGGCTTACTGCAACCTCCACCTCCCAGTTCAAGCAATTCTCATGCCTCAGCCTGTCGGACAGTTCTTTCTTAATACTTTTTTTTTTTTGACTACAAACAAATTTCAGTGACTAAACAGGATTTATAGTTTAACAAATTAAGGGGAGTTCATTCTAACACATTCAGAACTACTTTATAAACATATATTCAGAATAACAATTTAGAACTAGCAAATAATGTATTTGGTGCTACACACTGCCATAACACAGTCTTAACAATTTTACATACCTTGTTTGTGTTTGTGTGTGTGTGTTTTGAGATAGGGTTTCACTCTGTCACCCAGGCTGGAGTACAGTGGCACAATCTTGGCTCACTGCAACCTCTGCCTCCTAGGTTCAGGCGATTCTCCTGCCTCAGCCTCTCAAGTAGCTGGAACTACAGGCGCACACCACCACACCTGGCTAATTTTGTTTTTATTTGTAGTAGAGACAGGGTTTCACCATGTTGGCCAGGCTGGTGTTGAACTCCTGACCTCAGGTGATCCGCCTGCCTCAGCCTCCCAAAGTGCTGGGATTACAGGCGTGAGCCACTGAGCCCAGCTCCTTGTATGCCATATAAAACTGAGACAGAACTTCATAAAAAGTGAAAAACATAATCTGTCCACATCATATACGACTACAACATTAGATACAAAAAGGGCCCCTTCATTTTGTTAGGAGACACAGATTCTTCGAATCAATGCTTCCCCTTTTTTACCATCTTTGCAGGTCAGAGTTCCAATCACTGCTAAGCAAAATTAATAAAAGGCAAATTCCAAGAGACTTTCTTTCAGTAAAGAAAGGCTGAACACCCCAAAATCGTTCAGCATATTTACAATACGTAAATTATCACAAAGCAAAAACCTTTATGTAAATCATGAAATACAGCCCAACAGAGCAAAAAGCCCTAGGATACAAAGTAGTGAAAGACTCATTAGCATTCGTTCACACATTGCTTCAATTGCAACTACAACAACTGCACAGCTATGATCTGTTTGTCAACTATGGCACGTGCTCCCAGTCAGGGATTCTGCTAATTGAAAGTTACAATCGTAAGACATTTAAAGATTGTGCAGAGCAGCATTATTCGTACTCGATACTAGAAAGCAGTAAACCTATTCTGATTTGCTTGAATTTAAAAATCTCTTCCAGTTTTAATACACAAGTACTTCACTAGTAGGCCAGGCACTGGCCTGTAATCCCAGCACTTTGGGAGGCCAAGGAGGGAGGATCGACTGAGCCCAGGAGTTCGAGGTTCCAGTGAGCCGTGATCGCGTCACTGCAATCCAGCCTGCGCGACACAGCGAAATCACCATACTTCATTCGTTCATTCATTCATTCATAATTAATTAACAAATAAGTAAAACGCTATTCTACATCATAATCTAAGCTTATGGAAATCCATGGTATAAACCGGTCCTTCATCTACATGGAAATTAACTTTAGCTATATTATCTCCCCAACCTAGGAGTCAGTACCTGAAAGGCCCCACTGAACACACTGATGTAGCTTTTTACTGTGTCACTTAGGTGAAAAGATTCTTTCCTTAAACATGAAAAGAAAAACTATGCAGTAATGGCACAAAAAGAATATGTTAACTGTAAAGCCAAATCACTGCCCAATAAGCTGTTTCCTGTACGCTCACTGCAAAGTCAAAATTATGAAAGGTTCCCGTGGCTCAGAGTTTTTTAGGAGCAATCGAGGCTGCGACGTTTCCCGTCACCCGTCACCGCCGGCTGGACCGACAGACGAGGCTGGAAAGGGTGATCAACATACCTGGAGGAAGCTGCAAATTAGCAGGAAACTGGATTGTGGTGTTGGGGGCTTTCACGGCGACTATCTGAGGAGCAGGCAGCCTAGGGCCGCTGCTGAGTTTAGGAGGGGCGCTGAGGGGAGCCACTTTGGTCACCAGGGTCCCCACGGGCGACCGCAGGGGCTGGGACGCCGTGGGCTCCACGCAGACGCTGACAGGAGCCTGAGTCACGGCGCCCAGGGCCACCGGAGTGCTCTCCACCCGCACCGGCAGCGCCCCAGCCGGGGCCATGGTCACGGTCCCCGAGGCGCTCACAGCAGCCGGGGGAGCGGCGCGGGCGGGATCTGTGAGGCCGGCGGGCATCCCCCAGGGGCTCAGCGGCAGCTGTGGCGCTGCGGTTCCGGGAGCAGAGGTGACGGGAGGCTTGGCGCGCGGTAGCCGACTCCAGTAACGTTCGGGCTCCACAGCATCGCTGGGGAGAGACGCGGGGGCCGCGGCAGCGAAGTCAGTGACGGGCGCCGGCTGCACGACAGGACACGCGCGTCCAGGACCTTCCACCCGCCCGCGCTAGCCTGGAGTGCCCCTGGAGCGACACCCGCCCGGCCTCTCGCAGCTTCCTCAGCGGCGCTCACACGTGCGCCGCCTCAGCCCGGCGCCTCAGGCTGGGGTCCCGCTGCGGGGGAGCCTGGACTTGCGGCTCCCAAAAGGTCGTCGCTCGCACCTCGAGCCTAACTGCGGAGCGGCTCCCCCGCCAGAAATTTCAAAACTACGAACCCAGAGCGCCCACAGCCCCCTACGCGCGCTTAGTACGGCCCCGTCGCGCTGCCACGCCAGCCATGTTTATATAGCCACGCGGAGGCCTCGCGCACGCGCCCAGGCCGCCGCCGCCGCCCTGGGTTTCCCCGGGATCCGGCCGCGTGATTGGCCAAGGAGCGGAGCCGCGCCCGTGACGTCACTGGGGACGGCCCCGGAGCGCGTTAGAACCTTCCCCAGAATCGCCAGCAAGGAGGGGCGATGCCAGAAACCTATCACGTGGGAGGTTGGGGCAAGCTGCACTTGGAAAACTGCGGTATTTGTGTTCCTCTCCTGGTGACCCCCGTTGTGTGTTCCTCGAAAAGCCAGGACTAGACTGTCTCCAGGATTCTATTTTTAAAGGAGAAAATGAGGAGGACCGATTTCGGAGAAGAGTGACTCAAAAATAATTCAATCACGCATTTTCAGTGTTTTTCTCTGCTGTCTATACACTGAAGCATTGCTAAAATTAGCATTAGAATTGACATTGTAAAAATAAAAATGGTGTATAGTTTTATAGTCTGTGAGATGTGCCTATTTTCATATTTAAATGGAAATCTTAAATGGAAAATTTTTTCTTCTTTGGTGCTGCTGTAGATGTCTCTATCATCTCTAAACATTAAAATTGTTTGTATGCCTCTTCAAAACTTAATGTCTTCTGATTCCTATATAATTAGATTCTAGCACTTAATTCTAGGTATTAAGTGCGATCGTAGATATTATATGGATAAATAAAAGGCGTTGAGTGAATAAACATGAAAAAACTTTCCTCTTTGTAATGCTAAGAAGATGCCTTAATTTCGAGCTAATGTCATGAAACTGTATGTTTGTAGGAACCAATATCGCACTGAAAAGAAATTTTCCAAGTAGGCAGATGCTATGATATGAATGTTGTGTTTGTTTTGTTTTGGAGACAGGGTCTAACTCTGTCACCCAGGCTGGAGTGCAGTGGCACCATTGGCTTATTGCAGCCTCCACCTCCTGGGCTCAAGTGATCCTCCTACCTGCCTACCTCAGACTCCCGAGTAGTTGGGACTGCAGGGAAGCGCCACTGTGCCCAGCAAAAACGGGGTCTCCTTATTTTGTCCCGGCTGGTCTCCAATTCCTGAGCTCCTGTCTGGGCCTCCCAAAGTGCTGGGATTATACCCCCAACCGAGTATCAAAATCCTAAAACAGAAGTTGATGGTATTAGAAGGTGAGGCCTTTGAAAGGTGATTAGAGGGCAGGCGCTGTGGCTCACGCCTGTAATGCCAGCACTTTGGGAAGCCAAGGCAAGCCAGACCACAAGGTTCGAGACCAACCTGGCCAATCATAGTGAAAACCTGTCTCTCCTAAAAATACAAAAAATTAGCCAGGCGTGGAGTCAGGGCGCCAGTAATCCTGGCTACTCCGGAGGCTGAGACAGCCTTGAACTCGGGAGGTGGAGTTTGCAGTGAGCTGCGATCATGCCAGCCCACGTGTGAGACTCTGTCTCAAAAAAAAAAAAAAAAAAGGTGAAAAGGGAATTAGATAATAAGGGCAGAGCGCTCATGAATGGGATTAGTAAAAGAGATTCCATTCAGGATAAATTATGTTAAAGTGTTGAATATATTAGCTTGATTTATTTCATGACACATGAAAACATCACATGATACCTCATACATACAATTATTGTTTGTCAGTTAAATACATTAAATAAATAAAAAGAAACCTCAGAAAGAGCTCTCACCCCTTCCACCATGTGAGATTATAGTAAAAAAAACTTTGTCTAGGAAGTAGACTCACATCACACACCACATCTGCTTTGATCTTGAACTTCCCAACATCCAGAATTATGAGACATAAATTTATTTTTTTTATAAACTACCCAGTTTATGATATTTCATTATAGAAGCCCAAGTGGAGCCAGGTGCAGTGGCTCATGCCTGTAATCCCAGCACTTTGGGAGGCCAAGGCGGGCAGATCATAAGATCAGGAGTTCGAGACCAGCCTGACCAACATGGTGAAAACCTGTCTCTACTGAACATACAAAAAAAATTAGCCATGCTACTCAGGACGCTGAGGCAGAAGAATCACTTGAATTGGGAGGCAGAGGTTGCAGTGAGCTGAGATGGCACCACTGCCCTCCAGCCTGGGCGACAGAGAAAGGCTCTCATGAAAATATGAAAAAATGCTCATCGTCACTGGCCATTAGAGAAATGCAAATCAAAACTACATTGAGATACCACCTCACACCAGTTAGAATGGCAATTATTAAAAAATCTGGAAACAACAGATGCTGGAGAGGATGTGGAGAAATAGGAACACATTTACACTGTTGGTGGGAGTGTAAATTAGTTCAACCATTGTGGAAGACAGTGTGGCGATTCCTCAAGGACCTAGAAATAGAAATTCCATTTGACCCAGCAATCCCATTACTGTGTATATACCCAAAGGATTATAAATCGTTCTACTATAAGGACACATGCACACGAATTTTGCAGCACTGTTTACAATAGCAAAGTCCTGGAACCAACCCAAATGCCATCGACGATACACTGGACAGGGAAAATGTGGCACATATACACCATGGAATATTATGCAGCCATCAAAAACGATGAGTTCGTGTCCTTTGTAGGACACGATGAACCTAGAAACCATCACTCTCAGCAAACTGACCCAAGAACAGAAAATCAAACACCGCATGTTTTCACTCATAGGCGGGTGTTGAACAATGAGAACACATACACACAGGGAGGGGAGCATCACACACTGGGGTCTGTAGGGGGGAAATAGGGGTGGGACAGTGGGGGGTGGGGAGTTGGGGAGAGATAGCATGGGGAGAAATGCCAGATATAGGTGATGGGGAGGAAGGCAGCAAATCACACTGCCACATGTATACCTATGCAACAATCTTGCATGTTCTTCACATGTACCCCAAAACCTACAATGCAATAAAAATAAATAAATAAGTTTAAAAAAAAAAGTTTTTCAGGTTTTTATGCTGAGGAAAAAAAAAAAAAGAAGAAGCAGCAGCAGCAGCAGCCCAACTAGGCTCATATAGCAGGCAACCTGAGGGTTACAGCTCCTGCTTTTCTACCTGTCTGTAAACGTGTGCCGGCACATTTCGATAAGATCTACTCACAAGATCTAGTAAAGTCCACACACTCACTACCTTTACTGTCTCCCACTTCTTATCCAGTCTAAATCCATCTCATGACTCAAATCAGTCACACTCCCTCCCTTTCTATGGTGAATTCCCTGACCACTTACCTTCTAGCAAATGCCTCAAAGTGGAGTTGGGGAGAGAAAAACTCAATTTTTTGAGCACCTCCTGTGTGCTGGTCACCAAGAGATGCATTTCCTTTTTCCAACTGCTTCATTTTACTAACTTAAAAACTGCAGTTAAAAGAATGATGTTTCCAAGAAGCTGGAATTCAAACTAGTTAGTACAATGCCAAAGTACATCTCTTTCCATTACTCCAAAAACGTCTGATTCATCATACATCCCACACTGCCCTTGGCAAAATGCCTTGAGCATAAAAGGCATTTAATAAATATTTGCTAACGTAATGAATTAAAGGAAGCTCTGCAACATCTTCAGTGAAGCAAAATTGTGTAGTATATTTGAATATTAGGTATATTTTTCACTAACTGGGCAAATTAGGTCTGATTTCTTTTCCCTCCATATAGTATGATTACATAGATACTTGAGTATGGAAGGATCAAAGTTTGTTTTGAGGATTCTCCCTTTCTAAACTTCCACTAGACCCCCACCCCAACTCACATACTTTGTTTAGATAGGTAATTAACCTCCACCATCAAATTACAAAGAGGCTTGGTTGGGGAACTATATTTTTTCATAAAGTTAACCTTGGGCATTTTGTGTGTGTGTGTGTGTGTGTGTGTGTGTGTGTGTGTGTGTGATGGCAGGGCGGGACAGGGTGGGGGTGGGGTGTGCAAAGGAGAACAGCGTATCACCGGCTCTGCCACCCAGAGTAATGCAGTGAGGCCATCATGGCTCACTTGCAGCTTCAACCTCCTGGGCTCAAGAAATTCTCTTACCTCAGCCTCCCAAGTAGGTGGGACCACGGGTGGTACCACCATGCCTGGCTAATTTTTTGGTTTTTTGTTTATTTGTTTTTTGGGTTTTGGGTTTTTTCTTTTTTCTTTTTTTCTTTTTTTTTTTTTTTTTTTTTTTGCAAAGACAAGGGTCTAACAATTTGGTTGGTGCAAAAGTAATTGTGCCAATATGTTGCCAAGGCTGATCTCAAACTCTTGGACTCAAGTGATCCTCGTATCTCAGCCTCACAAAGTGCTGGGATTATAGGCGTGAGCCCCCATTTTTCTTTTAATTGTTTATAATACGCAAACACCTGATGTGGTGGTTCATGCCTATAATCCTAGCACTTTGAGAGGCCTCAAGCAGGAGGATTGCTTGAGGCCAGGCCTTGAAGACCAGCCTGGTCAACATGTCAAAACCCCATCTCTACCAAAAATACAAAAATTGGCCATGTGTGGTGGTGCACACCTGTAATCCCAGCTACTTGGGAAGCTGAGGTAGGAGAATCTCTTAAACCCGGGAGATGGAGGTTGCAGTGAGCCAAGGTCACGCCACTGCACTCCATCCTGGGTGACAGAGCAAGACCATCTCAAAAACAAAAAAGAAAAGAAAAGGAAAAAAAATAGTTATTAAACAATAAACAGATACTCACAAAAATTAGATTACACACAAAACTTTTTTTTTTTTTGAGACAGAGTCTTGCTCTGTCGCCCAGGCTGGAGTACAATGGTATGATCTCGGCTCACTGCAGCCTACGCCTCCCAGTTTCTAGCCATTCTCCTGCCTCAGCCTCCCAGGTAGCTGGGACTACAGGCATGCACCACCACACATGGCTAATTTTTGTATGTGTGTGTATTTTTAGTAGAGATGGGGTTTCACCATGCTGGCCAGTCTGGTCTTGAACTCCTGACCTCAAGTGACCCACCCGCCTTGGCCACCCAAAGTGGTAGGAGCCACTGCACCTGGTCACAACACTGTTAATGAAAGTTATTTCTGTTTAGAGACATTCTAAGTGATAATTTTTGTCCCTCTGTATTTTCTAATTTTCCTACAGTGAATGTATCTTAATTGCATAATCAAAAATTAAAGGAAGCTTTTTCTTAAAATACATATTCTTAGTGGCAATTGAAATCTGTAAGCACAGCTAAATACTCTCCAGTCTCCTCAACATAGCATCCAAGTGCCTTTAATGGATCTCATGAACCTAGACAAACATGGTAGCTTGCTGAAGCTACGACAAGCAGAAGCTTATTACAAATACCATCTTAACCTAAGAAAAGGCTGTTTTCTAAGTGTGAGTGGTCATTTCTTTTCACTTCAAATTAAGTGTAGAAAAAGTAATGACTGTTCAAAAAGCCAAAAACCCCAGAAAAAAATATTTATTTTGTAAAAGATTCTGCAAACACTGAATTTTTTTTTTCCTGAGTAGCTGGGACTACAGGAGACGGAGTTTCGCTCTTGTTACCCAGGCTGGAGTGCAATGGCGCGATCTCGGCTCACCGCAACCTCCGCCTCCTGGGTTCAGGCAATTCTCCTG